CAGCTTGGGCTGGGTTGAGGACCGAACTTTTAAATCCGCGTGAGCAAGATGCCCGTGCAGAGAGTATGTTGTAAATTAATAAATAAAATTACATCACCCACAAAATTAAATTTAGTCTTAAAACATCTATTTAATAAAATTGATCAAAAATATTTGTTAAGATAAACAATTTGAATTTTTTGAAAGCTTATTTATGATTATATGAAGGATTTAAAGTTTTTCATCATCTTAAAGTAATTTTAATAATACTAATCCTAGTTCTTCTCGTTTTATATTTTTACCTTTTTTACATTTTTTTAAATTTTAAAATACCAAAATGGAACTTTATCTTTGTGAAATAAAATAAAATAAAATAAAATAATCATGATATTGGAAATATACTTGGTAGCCCATTTTTTTTATTGAACAAAAATTGATGGAGGCGAATTAAATTTTTGCATTTTTATATTTTTATATTTTCATACTTTTATATTTTTGTATTTGTATACTTTTATATTTTTATATTTTTATATTTGAGATTATCCCTAAACTACTGGTTAGTGAAATATTCATTTTATCAGTCTGAGGTTTGAAATTAGTTATGTATCTAGCTCTGTAATTCTCCTTTATGTCAAGACTAGCACATTAATCTAATTTTATTTTATTAGATTGGGAACCCGGCGTTGCCCAGGGTACCCATAGTTAATCCCGCCGTTTACCCGCGCTTGGTGTTGAATTACGAATTTAGCTATTTTTCCCTATAAAAGTAGACCCACTCAACATAAAATCTCAAAACCAAGCTAAGAACATTCCCGTGGTTCTCCCAAGTTCCTCAATTAAAATTTAAAATTAAAATTACAACTTTACAACTTTACTGAAATTAGCGAGGAATCACTTTATTTAAATTGTAGATTAGTGGAGCTTTCATTTAAGATAAGAGCAGTATTCCTTGAATCACCCTGTAGTTTAAGATATCACCCTGTAGTTTAAGATTAGTAAGTATCCCATGAATCATCCTGTAGTTTAAGATTAGAGCAGTATTCCTAGAATCACCCTGTAGTTTAAGATTAGAGCAGTATTCCTCGAATCACCCTGTAGTTTAAGATTAGTAAGTATCCCTTGAAACACCCTGTAGTTTAAGATTAGAGCAGTATTCCTCAAATCACCCTGTAGTTTAAGATTAGTAAGTATCCCTTGAAACACCCTTTAGTTTAAGATTAGAGCAGTATCCATTAAATCACCCTGTAGTTTAAGATTAGCGCAGTATCCCTTGAAACACGCTGTTGTTTTATATTAGTAAGTATCCCTTGAAACACCCTGTAGTTTAAGATTAGAGCAGTATCCCTTGAAACACCCTGTAGTTTAAGATTAGAGCAGTATCCCTTGAATCACCCTGTAGTTTAAGATTAGAGCAGTATTCCTTGAAACACCCTGTAGTTTAAGATTAGATCAGTATCCCTTGAATCACCCTGTAGTTTAAGATTATTAAGTATCCCTTGAAACCCCCTGTAGTTTAAGATTAGAGCAGTATCCCTTTGAACACCCTGTAGTTTGAAGGTGTAACTATGAACTGGATGTATAGACCAGCTCCAAGTATAGTAGAGAAGGAGACTGTAAAGAGGTATTCCTCGTTCCTCTATATATATATATATTGGATGAAATACCCACACCGTACTCGTCGTAATTATAAATCTAAGTCATGCAGGGAGGGGGCTTTGCACCCCGCAATATTTAAGAGAATAGGAGGGAGAGAAGGGAGACATCCAGGCTTCAGTTGTAGGTTAAAGAAGGAAAACAAACTTGTCTTATATTTTCCTTTCTCGAATTCATCTCTCACTTCCTACTCTTTTTATAAGATACCGTGATAATCATAAAACAACGGAATAGGAAGACGACATCATAGCAATACATTTGTATTTGATGTTTTTGCAAACCAAATAATTTTACTTGAAACGTTAAACTCACTAATCTAGGGAAATTAGTCTGTTTACACAATTTGTTCACGCTCAATTGGAACTTTTTAAAGTTATAACTTGATTCAAAAAGTTGTCTCCATATTCAGAGTTTTCTGGTTATCACTGTATGATCTAGCTGAATTCAACAATTTATGGCTCTCATTAACTTAATTAACTACCAACTTATTCATATCAGATGTTTCACTTAGCTATTCTGTAATAAAAAATATAACAATATTCTACTTAAAACATTGTGAAGATTAACGAGAAAAATATTGTTTTATCATCAAGGTTGTATATAGTTCTTGCCCCCCCCCCTCCCTCCAAGAAATCAAAGGCCCAAAAAGAGAGGAGGAAAAGAGGGATGGAAGAGGGGAAGGAAAAGGGTTAGGCAAGGGATGAGGTAGGTAGGGAAGGGAATGGAATGAACATAAATAAACTGAAAAATGAATAAGTCCAACTAAAGTAGAAAAAATGTTGTAGCAAATTGCAAAACTATGTTTTTAAAATTATACATCCTTTTGAAGATTAGTATGCACCAAAATTTAAACCTTATAAATTGGCATCTTTTGAGCTCAAAAGTTTACAAAAGGAAATCAAAATATTTAGGAGGGAAAGAATAAAAATATTAAATTATATATACACCCCTGAAATTCAGGCACGGATAAATCTCAAATGTTTTCTCTAATTAAAAGGTTTGAGAAGAACATGCTTTAAATTTCTAATATTTAACCGGATACATTTTCCTTTCTTATACTTTTNCCTCGAAGACCTCCTTTTTGAAAAAGGGGGGTCAAGAGAATCTTTTAGACCCGCTTTTCCCAAGTGGCAACTTCCCAAATGTGCAATATCCCAAGTGGTAACTTCCTGAGTCTGTCCTAGCCGTAGCGCTAGAGACTAACTTAAAAGTTTACTGTAACTTGTTTTCCAGCAGATACTTCAACAAAACTAATAATTTAATCAAAGAAAACATTTTCTATAAATTTTTTAAATGTCTGAATATAAGTGTTGTGTTCCCTCGTAATTCATTGACAAATCATGATAGTTTTACTTTTCATCAATCCGATAGATTTTAAGTTTTAACCAACGCTGTAAGTTATTGAATATGATTCTTTATTGTAAGTTTATTGTGATTTTAGAATTGAAAAACATTCTAGTTTTTAGTGACATTACAGCGACAAAAAAACCATCAACTAGTTGGAGTATGAAATTTTGTGACATTTTTCTAAGATCATTTTACAGAAGCAACATTATACTCTTCTTAATTGGAATTCTAATTGGCATGATTTAAAAATGCTTTTTTTTACAAAAATCAGAAACGGCTCCCTGGTCCCTGGAATGGGTTGTAATGATTAAAAATATAGAAAAACACTACAAATGAAAATGAAAATTTTAAACAGATATTCAAAATTCAATACATTTGTAATTTTGTTCAACGAATTCTAATCAAATTACAGAAAATAAAATTAGTGAAAATTGACCGATCTCAAGCAAGATTTAAATTTAAAGAAAAAATGCTTGCACAATTTAAAATTTTTTAATTGATACCAATATTTTTAAATTATGTCATAAAATTCCAAGTAAAATTATTTTTAATTTTTTTATCTTTCTTGCATGAGGCCTTGGTGGAAAATTTGAAGGTACAGTTCTAAGGTTGGAATATTATTTACATGTTATAAAAGTAATTTTCTATTTTGATCACCTAAAATACTAACTCTCAGCGCTAATTCATTAANTGGGAGTTTGACACCCTCTTTTAAAGAAAGTGAAATTCATTATTTTAGAACAAAAAGTCATAGAACTTTTCATACACATTGTTTTTTGCAGTTGTGATAACGCAATATATTTGGGCTCATTGGTGGATAAAAAACGATAACGTAACGCACATGGATCCAGACAGTTTTGCATAAAACGTACTAGATTGACTTCACTGGAGTAGCCTATAGTCTTGACCCGACGGTAAGAGTGAATGCATTTATCCCTATTACTCTAAGCAGTCACCGGTTCGATTCATCTATAGGGCTGGGCACTTTTAGAGTTTTTTTCAAAACATTCATTAAAAGTTAGCTGGAACATTTCAGATATCCGTTCCCTCTTAGCTTAGAACTGATTGTTTCATTCTTTTTTAAGTTACAGTTCGTTAACGATCTCAATCTTTTTAAAAAGTTTAACGGAAGATATTTTAGAAATCGTTTAAGAGTCGTTAACTATTATTTTAGTCCAAAAATAGGAAACAGAAAACATAAAAACATTTTAAAAAATTTAGAAACGTCAATTTCAATTTTGTACAATTTTCAGCAGAAAGTTAACAAAAGTTGTCGGTTTTCTAAAAACATCGTTTCGTTCTGTTTATTTTCCCAGTGCCCAGCCCTTTTTGGATCATTCAACGATTTGAGTCCGAATTTAATTAATTTGAGCCGCGTATCAAATCCACCAAAACCCGTTTTAATTGAGCGCCGGCTTAAATCTTGAAACATTGAATGCAAATTTTAGTGGAAACAAGTATATATAAGCCGCGGCTCAAATTCTTTAAATTCTGCCTTTGATTGTATAAATTGCGATAGATCGAAATTCCTAATAGGGTTAGAAACTGTAGAAACTGTAGAAACTGTAGAAACTGGCAATCATTGATGGCTTTCTTTTTAGAAAAAAGAAGTTGAGTCTTTGCAACAAACTCTGATTTTCTAATCGCTATATCTTTTCAACCGATGTCGTATTATGAATTCTGGTAGATAAAATAATCTGAGTTTAAAATCTCAAAAGTTTGCGCCATCAGGTTGCAAAGATATATGGATTAGAAAATTTTATTTTCGGCAAAACATTTATTTCTTTATTTTTAGTGCTGTTCTTTCACGTTTACACAATTGTTGTACTTGTCTCATGGTTATTGGACTTTTTAAAGATATAAATTGATTCTTAAAGTCCTTTTTCAGAGTTTTCTGGTTACCACTGTATGTAAAATAATCAATCTGCAAAAAAAAATTTCAATAATTTGCGTTTTTTCATTTTTACGCAATGTCTTTGATTTTACCGCTCTAACTCACTAATGATTTTCTGTAGCCCTGTATAAGTATATTAAACTCTGTAAATAGCAAGAATCTCATCGGTTTTTGCTTAAGAGCATGAGACCTTTAAATCACAGTGTATGATAAAAACAAAAGTATTCAATGTTTTACGAACTTATGATTTGTTTATGTTGCAACCACTCATTTACCAATTTGCTTTTCTTTTTCTTACATCTAGACATTAAATTATTCAGTGTAATTACAAAATGGCAAAAATCGTTTTTAATTATTAATGGGCGTGGTTACTTTCTTATTTATAACCCAGAGAAATACTATTACCACTAATATTATTTTATTAATTATTTTTGCTGTAATTTGAATTTTAAATCTTAATGTAAATCATATTTGTATATATTCATAGCTCAGTTTTCTCTCCTGAAAAAACGTTTTCTTCAATTTTAATTATTTCATCCTCGATCTCATGTTTGTCGGCCATTTTCTTTCCATCTGCAAGTTTCTGTGCTTCTTGACGCTCTTTTCTCATCTGTACAGTAGGAATCTTCATACCAGCACAGGCTCCCGTTATCTAGTAAGTTATATATTGGTAGGAGATTATATCAATATATTTTCTCATCTGTACAGTAGGAACCATCATACCAGCACAGGCTCCCGTTATCTAGTAAGTAGGTGATTATATCAATATATTTTCTCATCTGTACAGTAGGAACCTTCATACCAGCACAGGCTCCTGTTATCTAGTGAGTTATATATTGGTAGGAGATTATATCAATATATCTTCTCATCTGTACAGTAGGAACCTTCATACCAGCACAGGCTCCCGTTATCTAGTAAGTAGGTGATTATATCAATATAATGAGAACTATATTTTTTATTGTTATCAAGTCTTTTTCGAATTACAAATAAACAAGAAAATAAAGAGAGAAGCTTTTTTAATTGACAGCTTCTCTTGACTTTTGTGTTAATCCATGATGTTTAAGAGCTTGATATATGACTAAATATTGAAAGTCGTTTGTATTATAATGATGAAATATATTAAGCAGTTAGGTTTTTAAAGTAAATTATGAAAAGTCTTTTACTCCTGATACTTTAGCTTTTAAATACTTTTTAAATTACAATCCCATCTTTTCTCAAACGTCGGTTTATTTCAAGTACCGGGCAAGCTCTACAGTACACATTCAGACTATATAAAGCAAAATGGGATATAGTCCACAAAATTAACCATCCCCCTCTAGGAAAAAAAATTTGGTAGATTATTTAAAAAAATCTACACTTTATACCCGAATTTTCACTTCCAGGAATCGAATTTTTCGACTTTTAAAAGTCTACTTTACCTTTAATTAAGTCGCTTCATTTCCTTATATTTATCATAGAGTTTTTACCACTTTTTAATGTGATTTATTTTAACAATTGTAAGTCAGTTTATTTACTAACAGAGGTTATTCCATTTATTTTTTGTTGACTTTTTTGGCAAAAAAATCATGCTAATGTTTTTTAGAAATTTATATTATTGCTTGTCTGTTATTTCCAATTTTAATTATTTTTTTCGCCATTTTCATAAAACATGAGTTTACCACATTTATTCAACATCTTTGAACCTTATGACTCTTAAGATGTTGACACTGAGCGTATTTAAATTTTACGTATTCTCATTTAGGTTGTATAAACCTCAAAGGAAATTAGTTTTGCCACAAGCACAAATATTATAATTCCTAAATCTTTGCAACCTGATTGTGTATCGTATGATATTTCAAATTTACACTATTTGATCTATTAAAATGTATATTTTATAATATCAAAGGTCTACAACATAGAGTTACAACGATACCAATTAGAAGATTATCGAGTTTGTGGCAAAAACTCAATTTCTTTGGCAAATACCAATGTGTTACTAATAATGACAAATGATGATCAAATGTTTGAGAGAGTGTCATTTTATTAGATTCCAACCTGAAAGCAAAATAATTCCACTAAATTGTCCAGTTCTTTTTCTTTTTCTCTACTCGTCTCAGAGACCAGTCTGAAAGGAAATTTGTGACTTGATAATTTGTTTCAATTATACTATACTTCTATTTGTCAATTATTCAAATTGACATGAATTAGTGGTTATATTTTTTTGCTCTGTGTAAATTTCTGACCCGTTTTTCAAATTAATATACAAGGTTAATTAATTCATTTCTTTAGCTTATAAATAAGTAAAGTGCGAAATCGTGATAATGATTTATATGAGAGCTTAGTGTTGATATAGCAAATATCCTTGACATTTAAATAGGAGCCGAGCCAGTGCGCTTAATTTCCGGAAAAAAGTGTGTAATTGAAAACTTGATTCAATGCATTTATCAACTTTTTTTCGTCAAAATGTTACAGGTCATTTTCCACGTTTCCGGACCAGCCGAAATAGACCAACTTTTAAATACCAATCCTGAACTTGGAGCTAAAACTTGTAAACAAAAACGTTTGTTCATAATCCATAAACTTGTAAAATCTTAGTTTAGGGTGACCAGTCCAGAACTTGGCAGCATCAAGGAATAGAACATTGTACAAAACTCTGGCACCATTTTAAAACAATTATTGTTAAAAACTCAAGATTTTCATCTAAGTTTAGGCCAAATTTGAACTTAAAATAAAAACCAAATAAAACTTGTGTAACTTGCCGAGAATATCCTAAATATCACTATTTAAGCCATTTAAATACCACATTCGAGGCAGAAGACTTATTTTAAAGAGTTTGAGGTCGTCTTTACATTCTCATCCATTGTGGGTAATCCTTTGCCTCGCCCTGCCCGCCTTCTTCTCCCAGCTGACCCATATCTCAGATGGATCCTCCTTAGCTTAGGTAAACAGAGACACTAACTATAAACCTAACACAATGTTCATTCTAGCTGAGTCTTTAACCAGACTTTCACAACTTGAATCCCTTCATGTCTAGAATAAAGGCAAAGGGTAGGATAACAGTGATAAGTTAATTAAATCTCTGTACGTAAACATTTATGTAGACATTTAAAAATTATCCTATTAACCCTCTCTAACATTTTTTGGACATAACTTAAAAAGTATTTGTCTGAGGCTGACTTTTCGAATTAATACATGCAATTAACTCTAAGCTAAAAGCGGAGCTTTTATACCATACTGCCTGTATGCCATTTTTTACCTATACCAGACTAAATCTGTACTTAGACCTACTTCCTGTGATTGAATTTAAACATTTTATAGTTTTTTAGAAAGCTTTCAACAAAAGAAAGTTGATTGCACAATTTTTTCTAAGAAATTTTACATACACTTTTGCACAGACACCTTTAAACAGAAAAGCTTTTGATAGTTTTTCAATTACTTTTGCATATTTGAATTTGCTGGGTCAAGGGCTTTTTAAAAATGTATATTTTTTGCTAAATAATAAAGGCTAAAAGCTGAAATGCACAAAAAAAAGTTTAAAATGAGAGTCCAAAATCAAGATGAGTTTTGTAAACAGTTGACTATAGAGTAAGAAGAAATGACACATTTTTGTTCATATCTTGTAAACACTTTATACACTGGGTCCACTAGACCTTCTTGTACCAGTATAAACACTTTATACACTGGGTCCACTAGACCTTCTTGTACCAGTATAAACGGTAGCTATAGGGGGGGGGGGGGGAGCAATTGCTTCAATGCTGCCCCATGTATCCGCCACAGTAAAATTAAAAGAAATATTTTATAATTTTTAAAAAACTTACTTTACCAGTTCATTGTTGTAGTGTTTTTGAATAGCTAAACAGGTTTTCTTCTGAAAATCATTTCTTAATCACATTATGTAACATATGCACGGGGTGTCCCACGAAACATAACAGAGCAAGACGAACTGAAGGTCGTCAATAATCTTTAAAATAATTTTCGGCATTTATTCGTTAGAAATAAAATTCTTGAGTTTTTAATTACAAATTATACTTAGTGTTGGCCATAGATTAAGAAAAATAACAGATAGGTCCCTAGATTTCGTCTTTTCAAGATTTAGGGGTTTTTCGTTCACAATAAACCTGAGGCAGAAGCCCAAAGGAGTTAACCTCAGTCGGCGTATATAACAGGCTCTCTCTCTCTCTGTCTTGTAACTCTACACCAACTGCGTGTAACTCCTATGGGCGTCTGCCTCAGGATTATTGTGAACGAAAAACCCCTAAATTTTGAAAATAGGACATCTAGTGTCCTATCTGTTATTTTAATTAATCTATGGTCTTGGCATTTCCAACATGTGGTCTGCTTTTTGTTGTGCTTTCAATATTATCAAGACATTTCAAAGATTGAAATCTGAACAAAATTCTAAATATCTCTGATAATATTGACAACACAGAGAAGGCAGACCACATTTTGGAAATGCCTGGATCGGAGAATTTTGTGGATATTGTTTCAAGAATCATACATGTGAATGTATAATTTGAAGTTTAAAGACTACTTTCATGTTTAGTGGGACACCCTGTATCTAGTTCTCATTAGTACAATTACTACTTATAGGGGCAATTCTGAAAAACTACAAAAGATTGAAAAAAAGTACATAAAATAAATTAAGATCATGAAAATATAAGGAAACTTTATACCTGGGTTGGAGGAGAGAATTTGTATCGTCGAAGTCTCTGATGATCACAAATATTGGCCAGGGTTTCCTCGATTAACCTAAAATATTTGCCAGGGTTTCTTTAATTAACATATAATATTTGCCAGGGTTTCATTAATTAACACATAATATTTGCCAGGGTTTCATTAACTAACATAAAGTATTGCGAGCGTTTCCTCAATTACCCTGAAATATTGGCCAGGGTTTCCTCAATTAACCTAAAATATTGGCCAGGGTTTCCTCAATTAACCTAAAAAACAACTTATTCAATGTTCATGTTATTCATTTTGATAAGATTTTTGCGAAAATATTAGGGTCTCCCGAAATAATGTGGTTTACCCCCCCCCCCCCCAAAAAAAAACTATGTTTTCCCAAAATAATGAATTCTAAAAAGTGTGGATATGGGGGATCCAAATCCAAATTCATTTGTTATTATTTAGAAGTATACCTCGTATTTCCTGCTAGTTCCCTAAAAGTCTCCAAATCCTCAAAAATTTCGCTGAAAATATATTCTGTTATAATATTGAGATTAAGATTGAATTCAATCTGAGATAAAACCGAGTTATATTAATTATGTTAATTGTTACAAGGTTTATTTGGACGCTTCCTGTTTCCGTTTCTAGTAATTAAGCTCATATACCTTCAAAGTTTATTTGAAGTGAGGCTCAACAAAATAATCAATGACTTCAGGTTATAATATCTGAATGATTTGTTTGAAATTAAATTTATTTTTTTACGATCCCAGTCCTATATTGCAACTAATTCTCAATTTGTATGAATCAAGATTAGTAGCGATCAAAAGCGATTATTTTTGCGAACACTCCCTTTAATGGATACTAGTGCCCGGTGTTGTCAGTCTGGAATTTCTTTTTGAATAAAATTTTTTTTTTAAATGTCGAATTTTTTTAGCCTATGTTACCCCTGAAATACCCCTTGGTTCCCTAAAAAAATCCAGCACATTCGGTCCATCCATTTGGCTGGCTATAGCTGACATATATATATATGAGCTTTATTATAAAGAAGATATTTACCTGATCATTGCAAAGCATCCATCACAAAATAGAACTTTATCTGTTAACCCAGGCGGTCCATTATCTCCTTAAGAAAATGATTATTTTAAAGTTTTATTTTCTTGTTAGTTTTAAAAGGTAAAAAAATAAAGTTGTAAGTTTGTTACTTAAACTTGTTTTCTATGAAACCTACGATAAAATCCACTTTCAAATCAACCTTTGCCTCTCTGTATTGTACGTATAGTAACCAGAATAAAGCGAGTTATACTAAAAGTGTCGCCGAAAAAAAAAATAATCTTATTTGCGTTTACACGCATTAACGTTTATTTTAAATTGAAAAAAGGTTGAGAGAATCAGTATACGTATCGTTTCACTTCTATTTAAACAAAGTATTGATCTCTGTTTGTTTGTTTGTTTGTTTGTTTGTCCGATCATAACTCAGATAAACCCCTTAATCGATTTGCCTCATATTTTGACTGAGGAACTTGGCAGAACCACGGGAATGTTATTAGCTTGTTTTAAAAGTTTTCAGTTTTTATAAATAAAACTTTGTTTACAGGTAAAGCTGGGTTTCCAAGCTAGTTTTTATATATAATTACCACCCAGAGTCCGAATTTAATGAATTTGAGCCGCGTCTTGAATCCGCCAAAACCCGGGTTCAATTCAGCGCCGGCTTAAATCTAGAAACATTGAAAACAATTTTAAATTGAATCAACAATATTTGAACCGCTTCTCCAATTTAAGCCGCGTCTCAAATTCATTAAATTCGGCCTCAGGTTACAGAATTTGCATTTTTTATGACGCTATTGATACAAAAGCAGAATGTTTAATTATTAAGAGCAAAGATTAATGACCAGGGGTATAACTTATTCATAATAGTTCAGGGATTATATATATGCGACAATATAACATCATTAGTTAAACAATCATTCAGAAAAATAATCTCTGCAGACTGCAGACTTTAGATTTTCATTGTGAACATTGTGTATTGTGCATTGTGCATTGCGCATTGTGCATTGTTCATTGTGAATTTTGCATTGTGCATTGTGCATTGTGCATTGTGCATTGTGCATTGTGCATTGTGCATTGTGCATTATGCATTGTGCATTGTGCATTGTGCATTGTGCATTGTGCATTGTGCATTGTGCATTGTGTATAAACAAACCCTATAGTTTTTCATTACATAGAACGGTGATTTTTAGTAAGAACATTTCTGGGATAAGACATTTCTTAGAAAGGACATTTTGTGCATATAATCACTTTAATTGCAAAAAATGAGACAAAATAACTATATTAATACATTTTTTCACATATTTTGTAAAATCAATTAACTGGCATCGAGTTGAGAAAATTTAGACTTTTAATAATTTGCTCTAAAAGTTTCTTTAAGCAATTTAAGTACTTTAAGTACTTGGGTTTTTATTTTATTGTTTCATTACTTTTCAAATATACCTGGAATTGCTAGAGCATGTGCTGTCAAGAATATAAATATTTTGATCATTTTAACACTGCGCTAAATATTTTAGTTTAATGTGAAATAGTATAATACTAATTATACTAATTATCTTATCATGCATTAAAACTCCCTTTTCTCCCTCTCTAATATAAATAAAGAATAAGTAAACATTGAAACACCCTCTGATAAAAGCCAGGACCCAGGACAATGAGAGAGGGGGTTGCAGAGCCTCGGGCCCACAAAATGGTCTCCGGAGCCGCAGAGTATCATTAAAAAACTATTTTATCATGTTGAGGTTGTTTGAAAAAAAAGGTTGTTGGTTGATGTAAAAGAAGGCAAATACTTTTTATTGGAGACCAAAAATGGAGGGCGTGCATGAGACAGGAAGGTGGAGGCTTGGAAGCGAGATGCAGGTTTCAAGGGGCTTGGTGGTCATTCTTCGTATTAGGAGGCAAACATCCTAAATCCTAAATATGTCCCCTAATTTCTGTTAATTAAGAAAGTAATTATTGGAACTTTGTATGGAGCTGAGAGAAACTCCCATTTCTGTGTTTGCTGTATCTGCGCCCGAAACTTAAGACGCGCGCGTATCGTGATGAAACCCAGTATCAGAAACCCGGTTTCATGAATTGGGTTAGGCAGTTTTTTAGAATTAGATACCAATATTTTTGATAAGAAATATTATTTTCATGTGGTTTCTTTACATTCACTTTTTGTTTTCTGATATCTTAAATTAGAATCTACGATAGACCTCACAAAGAAAACTGATAGTTTCATTTGACGATACTCCGGTTCTGTTTCAGCTAATTACGTACACTATGCAAGTGCAGGGACCCCCCTAGGAGATTAGAATTCAATGGAGTGCTAGTCGACCCGGTTCGTCCCATGATATATTATTATACTTCATTCGGAAAATGGTTTTATCAAAGGTCGTCTTTCTTTATAATGTGACTTTTACAATACCATATATACCTAGTTTTCTTCCTTAAAATCCCCTTATAGCTGGGAGATGACTTAATGAGACTATATGGTTTAAAAGAAATGCACTTCTTAGGTTGGAACAGTCGTCGTCGTATGAATCAAAACAATGAAGATGACTTTTTATATTTCTATTTTAAATCTAAACCAATCTTTAGAAAAGCAGAGGCACAATAATAGTAAACAAAGATTAGTTGACAATTAACCTTATCACGATTTATTTAGTATAATTTCTAAATAATTTAAAAACTGCTAACATTAGAATCCTAAAACTTCTTATCTTTTTCAACTTCGTCGTTGCTTAGGGTAGGGTGGAGGACAGTCAAATGGCGAGTTTAAAAAATCAGATAGGGTTAGTAACTTTTTTATTCATTAAGCGACAGGGCTAAAATTTACATATTTGAAAAGCCCTTGAAAAATGAAACATGTGTTGTTGATATTTGTCAAAAGTAAAAATATTTATTTTTGAACTTTTTTGAAATCCTTCCTTGCACCCTAAATCATGGGGTGGAGGAATGGAATTGGTTAAACAGCTTTTCTGTGTTAACTTGTTAACTTGTAATTTAAACAATGCTTGTTAGGGATTAAAGCATTATTTTTAAAAAGTCGTCTTCATTGTATTAATATAATTGCCTACCACTGTTTGAAGAACTTCAATCTCTTCAATATTTCCTCTCATGACATTTCTGTAATCAGTTGGCAAAACTGAATAGAGGTCAAGCAAACTTAACAAAAGAAGACCAAAGAAAATTATTAAGCAACATTATGTAACAAAGTTCTAAATTTTTTTTTAAAGACGACATACATATTCTTTTAAAAAAATCCATTTTGGAGATGTAATTAACAGGAACCATTCGTCCTTTTATTGTATTTTATTATTCAATTATTTCACAAAATCTATTATGTTTTGTATTGGTGCTTATATAGTATGATTCGTACATAATACACCTATGAAATGATATAAAATAATTTGTCTATCTTTATATAAAGCTGCACTAGTTCATGCACAAAAAGTCTTAATCTCCATTAAGATTTACTTTTTTAAGACAAACTGTTTATGTAATAGTAAATTTCTTTTTAGCTTGTTTGTCTCCACCATCCTAGCTCTACATCCTGTATTTTAATTTAATTTGTTAATTCTCACCCTGCCACAGATTACATGACAATCTCCTACCAATCAACTCCTTACCTCTCCCAAAACAAATGTGAATTTTATGTTACGTTTTGAGAATTTTTTTAAAATTATTAAATAACGACGACGAAAAATGTAACAATAAAATTTAATTCTTATCATCGAAAATAACTAATCTTTTTCAGTTATTGGTTTCTGTAATATTTCATTGTTTCCAAACATTTTCTGTAGATTTTCAAGTATTTTTATTGAAAGGCGATATTCTAAGAATTTTAAGAAATCTGCTAACAAGTTTGTAAAAAATAACCAAATCAATGTAATGATGAAAAAGAAGTAATTGATTCTAACATTGATTTATTGACAAATTTTTATTATGAAATATGTGTAGATTTTCAAGTATTTTTATTGAAAGGCGATATTCTAAAAATTTTAAGAAATCTGCTAACAAATTTGTAAAAAATAACCAAATCAATGTAATGATGAAAAAGAAGTAATTGATTCTAACATTGATTTATTGACAAATTTTTATTATGAAATATGTTCCTGAACAACTGATGAGTTTACTGTAGAATTTTTGATACATTTTTGTCGTCGTTATTTAAGAATTTTCAAAAATCGATTCTCAAAACGTAACCACCCAAATGGATGATTTTGAAAAAATTCTCTACAATACTACATTCTCAGTTCAACTACCATACATTGCCGGTCATTCTCTTTAAAATGTAAAACTAAGCAAAGACATTTTCGTTCCTCTATTAAAATTTGAGGCAAATCGTTTCAGGGGTTCTCGAGTTATGATCGGACAGACAAAGAGAGATTACTACTTTATTTCTATGGATTTAGAAACCAGAACAAGCCGGTTTATTTTAAACGTCATACTGCATCCCCCTCCACTGCCTGACTTCGACCATAAACCAGCCTCCTTTCCCTCCCCTCTGACCTCCACTCCCATCCTCATATCACGTGGAGGCTAACTCGGGATATATTTACGTAACAAAATGTAAGGGGGATGATATTTGGGTGCAAAATTATTATAAGATTAATTTTGAATTTAGCTATCCAAGCTTTCGTTTAAATATTTTTTTAAAATTTATTTTTCCACAATTTCCGATCCCTCTCTTCTCCTTTTTTGAGCCGGATTTGGAAGATCAGTTCAGTCGTAATTGAACTGTGTTATGACTATGAGTACTATGATGAGTGAGAAGAGTTGAATATTTGCTTCCCTAAAATTACTCTTTTCATGAATATTTTATAGTAAACTTTCTAGGCTTTCTTCTATTGGATTTATTTCTTCAGTTATACAGTAGCAACTAGTAAATTAATAGGAGTTCATCAACACAGTTGGCAGTAGTAGAACAATCTGTCCTTACATTTTTCAAGTAAAATTAATATATTCAGTAATTTCAGGAGGCAATTGCATAATTTAAAAAAAACAAAGTTTTTATGACGTTTTGCGCCACTTTTTTAGTAACAGGTTTAGAACTTGCCATTTTTCCCCCGTACTCTGTAATAAACCAAAAAATCGCGGATTTTTTCGGTTTAAATTGATAAATTTTATTAGTTAGCCGTATTGACGTTTATTGGATACAAACAGACTGACAAGCCATGTATCATTAGATATAAACGACCTTTTTTAAATTCTTGAGTTGATAAAAAATGTTTATATTATTGAAGTATTAACATCGAAATAAATTTTAAATCTATATTTTGTTTAAAGAAATTTTACAAACCTGGAAATAACTTTCGTACTTCTCCTCCCATTCCAGTAAATAATAGGTTCCTTCAATTTATAAAAATTCCAGGTAAAGAAAATGGTTGGAGAAAGCAAGACAGCAGCAACAGGTCTAATGACTGGAAAAATCAAAAAGTACACTGAAGATTGTACAACGTAAGTTTTAAAAACTATAAAATAAAAAACATGAAAAGTCATAAATTCAAAGAAATCTCCAACAACTCAAACTCAAAGATAAACAAAGATAAAGAAACTGAGTTCTTAAAATAAATTCTTATTCTTATATCTTTGCAATCTTACATTATAGACCTTTGATATTTCATAATAGTTCCTTTGTTATGATAAGCAATAAGTCCAATGTAAATCATTGGATGAATAGGTGGATATGCAGGTAGGTTAAGGTATTGTAAAAGGAAGGTAGGTAAGTTGTTAGGTATAATAAAATTCAGATAGGTAGGTAGGTTGTTAGGTAGGGTGAAAGGTAGGTTGGTAGGTTGTTAGGTTGTTAGGTATAGTAAAAGGTAGGTAGGTAAGTTGTTAGATATAGTACAATTCGGGTAGGTAGTTGTCAGATGTAATAAAAGGTAGATATGTATGTTTTTAGGTGTATTAAAAGTCAGGTAGGTAGGATGTCAGGTATAGTTAAAGCAAGGTAGGTATATTTTTAGGTACAGTAAAAGTCGGGTAGGTAGGTTGTGAGGCACAGTTAAAGCAAAGTAGGTAAATTTTTAGGTATAGTAAAAGTCGGGTAGGAGGTAGGTACTAGGTAAGGAGGACCGGATTTAATAACCTCCATTTAACTAACTACAACCGGTTCAAATCCTGAACTCTCGCTCTCTTAATTAATTATCTGAACACTGATGAATCTTTAACTTTGAATCAGTGATTCAGGATTTGAATCGGTTGAGTTAATTAGTTCAACGACCTCTCCAATTACTTAAATTTTGTAATACAGAGATGTACGGATTGAATGTGATGATTCTGATGAGGAGGAGGAAGAAACCCCTATACAGTTCTATCCGTCGATAATCCATTTAAAAACTGTTTATAGGTGAAGGAAACTGCTCCTGTGCCTGTAAAGTTCCATTTAAACCTGGAACCTCCAAATGACGGAGGAGCAGCTGTAGAGGTAATTATTAAAGGGAATGTTCATGAATATCTAAAATGTGGCATAAAGAAACTATGTTTGAAATGGTTCAACAAATATGCCAAATTAAATATCATAAAAGAAGAATTGTCCTTTCAAGAATACTCTAAGATTCATAAAAAACAGTCATCTTTTATTTGCATAGTTTTCTTCAACACATTTATGTAAAGCATGCATCAACTATTGAGACCTGGGTGACTTTAAAGTGTCGAAAGACCCTGCACCTCTCCTGTGACATTTTAAGACAGCTCAGGAACTGGTTTAGGGTAAAAATTCAATAGTCAGTAAACAAGTTTGGCCTTGCTACTCTGTTCAGAAAATTCAATAGTTAGTAAACAAGTTTGGCCTTGCTAGTCTGTTCAGAAAATTCAATAGTTAGTAAACAAGTTTGGTCTTACTACTCTGTTCAGAAAATTCAATAGTTAGTAAACAAGTTTGGCCTTGCTACTCTGTTCAGAACATTCAATAGTTAGTAAACAAGTTTGGTCTTACTACTCTGTTCAGAAAATGTTCGGCCTTTGTTTACAATCTTTGTTATTGGTTAGGACATTTTTTCATAATAGTCCAAATACGTTACACTCACATCAGTTTTTTGTGTAAACAAACCCTATACCCTCTACCTTTTGTAAACATATTTTCTTTTGAAAAGACGATGAAAACCAAAGTTTGTAATTTCACGCAATTTCAATCAACTTTGGTCCTATTAAGGAACTAGGTTTATAACTTCTATATCTTAGCATCCCAATGTTGCAGACCTTTGAAATTTCAAACTATGAATTCTGTTATAGATTAAATAATCTAAGTTTACAATATCAAAGATTCGCACAATCAGGTTGCTAAGATATAAGGATTAGAAAATTTAATTTTGTTGAAAAAAGTTTCTGTTAATTAGATTGTATTTTATTGTTAGGAGGAAGACAAGCAACGAGGAAGTTTCTCAAATAAACTGGATTTTCTCTTTTCTTGTATCTCCGTCTCAGGAACTAAAATATTTAGATTTTTACAATAATTTAGATATAATTCGCCTAATTCTCATTTTACAAAAAAAAAACATTCATGACAAGAGGTATTTAGTTTTCGTTATGCATTTTAGACCTAATTTTTTAAACTTATTCATAATCTTAGTTTTAAATTTAATATAAAGTTCAGAATTAAATTTATGGATAAGCTTGCCAGAAATTCGAACCTTGCATTTTCAATGTATATACATTTATACATTTATATAGATACGTATTCATACAAATGATTGCATAAACATGAAACATTGTGTTAATGAATTTTAGCTTCATAACTGATATTTTTAAAAGTATATTATTTAGATAAACGTTTGCTTTAAAAAAGATTATGTTTTTACTTCACTGAACATGCAAGTATATTTCAATAAGATGTGAAATGACAACTTTACTACTTGTAATCCAGTTTTATGTATTTAAAAATCTCAAAAACTAAATTTCATTTGAAAAAGAATGAATTAAAAATATTTTTAGTCGGATTGGGAAATGTATGGAGATTCCCATATCTGTGCTACAAGAATGGAGGAGGTAATTTCTATACTATTTTTACCATCATTATAATTATCTTTATTTGGTAATTTTTTTTATTAAAATAAAGTATTTTAAAAGAAATGGAAGAGTTTTTTCCTCCACAACAAAAAATGTTCCTCTTTTTAAAGATGTGAAAATATAAACCATCAGACATAATTTGTGTAAATTATTTTAACATTTGTAACAACTATTATCAGGAGGTTGCTTGCGGTCAATATCTTGGATCAGGTGGACTAACCATGATCGGTCAGCTGGTTCCAATACTTCAAGGGGTTGGATACGCTACAATGACAATTGTATTCTGGCTAGGAAATCCATTTATTAATAACTAGGCTTCCTGGGCGCTCTCTTATCTTTTTTTCGTGGATTTTGAGCAATCGAAATTTTCTGCAGGAAATGTTTTCAATTTTAACCATCCATATCCCTTCCCTGGGATCATGTCAAATCCCACAAAACATTTAGACTCGATCGGTTCCGCAGTTTTTACGTTTGTCAGTTAAAAACAAACTAAACTAACAATCAGACACCCAGACAAGCAAAATATATTTATATAGATATTTAATTCTGTTTTAGAAATAATGTTGCTTTAGAATAGATTAACTCAATTAATTTGCCAATAAATACTTATTTTGATATTGATTGATAAATGTTTTAATATATGATTTGGTCCAGATATCTACTACTGTATTATTATTGCCTGGACACTGTTCTATTTGATCTCTACGATGATAAATATTCCGAACCTACCTTGGAAGGACTGCAGTAAGTTTTTTTAGAAATAAAATAAGACACCAATTTTTTTTCTTGCTAATTCACATTATTCCTTTTTAATTATTAAAACCTTTTTTTCTGGTTCAGTGCCAATCTCGTTTATTTTATCCAGGCAATGATTGGAACACTGAGTATTGTAGTGAGGGTATTGGTGGAGAAAACCAAACCATATCAGGAGACCAAACCATATTACCAAACCAAACCAAATCTCCGGTTGAAGAATATTGGGAGTAAGTAACATTTATATTCTATTTCTATAAAATATTTCTAAAGGGTAACAATGTACATTAAATATTTCTAAAGGGTAACAATGTACATTAAATATTTCTAAAGGGTAACATGTACATTAAATATTTCTAAAGGGCGACAATGTACATTAAATATTTTTAAAGAGCGACAATGTACATTAAATATTTCTAAAGGGTGACAATGTACATTAAATATTTCTGAAGGGCGACAATGTACATTAAATATTTCTAAAGGGCGACAATGTACATTAAATATTTCTAAAGGGTGATAATGTACATTAAATACATACAGGAATCTGTCACAGACGTCTAGGGTCTATTTAAATTCGAACCAGACCGACCGACCCCATGTATCGGCCTTGGCCTTGGCGCGGCCAGACTTTTTACAGTACCCGGCCTATCATAGGCTTCGTTTTGTGTGCTATAGCTGTATATCTATTATTTATTACACACAGTAGCAATATGAACTTTAACCTGGTATAAAGTACATTTATACCGCATTTTTAGTTTAGCTGTTGCTCTTCAAGCTCCCATATTTTTTTGTAAATCGTATTTTGTGGTTTGTTCTTTTAAAATTAAAACTTTTTTTTCATTTTTAACTATCCCTAAATCTTTCAAGGGATCAAGTGAGTTGCTTTACAGGACATCAAATCCAATCATTTACTTGAATAGGAAAGAATCAATGAATTACGTGACAGTTTTTAATTTGAAGATTCAATCTTTTCATTTATTTAATCAAAATTCTTTTACTTTTTTAAAAAGCATATAGGAATTTTTGAAATAATTAAATTTTAAGATTTGTAACGTGTAAAGATGTTGACATTTGTTGTTCAGATCATTTCTGTAAACATTGTGTTTTTAAATCATATTGTTTTAATAAAAAACTTTTTTTTAGTCGGAGAGCGCTGAATATCACCAGCGGTATATCTGAGTTGGGAGGGATGAATTGGGACTTGATGGGAACCCTGATACTGGCCTGGGTCATTGTCTACCTCATCATATGGAAGGGTCTTCATTCATCCGGGAAGGTAATTACTGTGATCTATGTTGCATAAAACGTGCTGGGTCGATTTTCACTGGGAAGTCTAGACTGGACAGTACGACCGAATAAATAAACAGTACATGTTGTACCGGCTCGGATTATTAACTATTAAATAGGGGTGTAATTAGTCATTTATCCAGGAGGAAATGTATTCTTTTATTCAAAAAAGTATTCATCTATCGAAAAGTTATGTATTTAACCATTAATCATTATTTTTAGTATTTTTTATCCATTCATTGTTTTTATTTTGTTCCATTTTTATACCTAAAGCCGGTATTCATTTTATAATGAAACGTCCATCATATTCGTTTAATTTCGCGATGTTCATGGCAGAAATAAGATTCAAGTTGGACCAGTTGCATAAGTCTTCCATTTCATTTGCGAATTCATTCAATACTTTTCATCAAATCATTTCTATGTTGTTGCAAGTAATTAATTATCTACCTGTTGTTATATAGACCAATTTTAATTGGAGAAAATGTTGAAATATTTGATTAGATGGATTAGAAATAATATTATTTAGAAATTGGACTAGAAAATTCTTAAAAATATCACTTAAAGGGACTGTAAGCATAGTTTCAAGTTTTACTACGGTAACCATTGGCTGTTTATCGGGGAACGAAATGAATGTCAAAAGTTTTAAGGGTCACTAGAAATTTCGCTTACAGTCCCTTTATGTTCGGTGTGAAATAAATAAATTCTATTTAATTACATTATTTTATTCATAAGTAATGCTTTAGATTATATGGTTTACAGCTCTCTTCCCCTATTTCGTGATGATCACCCTGTTGTTTAAAGCAATAACTTTACCCGGTAACATGTTTTTTTTTAACAATCACAATTTTATAGAACTTTCTTCATGTTTGTACAGTGTTTATCACAAAGGACGAGGCTGTAAAGACGACCCGGAACTCTTTGAATAAGATGCTTCCAAGATTGAATTAAGTATTTTGCCTTGTGATCGTTAAATGGCATATTTAATAATTTGACAAAGAACGAAACAAGTTTAAAGTTGCAGGAAGATATGAGTATAAAGAAAAAGGCAGTATGAATTTCTTCTAGTCTTCTCTAAAGGCTCATCCTTTGTGGGTAACCCTGTATAATTTGCATTTGATATTGATGTATTTGACAACAGTCATAAAATACAACACAAGACAAGTTAACCATCAAAGTTTTTAATTCATTTACAGTACTGTGAATACCATAAAACTGTGAAATAGGAAAAAGACATTAAATCATAATTAAGTATATTTGACTATTTGAAGTCATAACTTCAGTTTAAAAGTCGTCTTCCTATTCTTAAGTTTTCTGACTCTCATTGTGCTTAGAAAGATTAAATACTACAAAAACGAGCCAAATTGGTTTCAAAGTTGAAGTTCTTTGGCTCTGAACCCTAAAAGTTTTTGGAATATATTTGCTATCGAAGATAGAGTGCAGTAATAAATAAATAATAAAAAAGACAACAAAGTTGTTATTATTATTTCTTAAGAATGTGGTAAATGCAAAATGTTATCTTCAGATTGTTTTTTCCTTGGTTCCTGGGTACCTGGGTACCTGGGTACCTGGGTACCTGGGTTCCTGGGTTCCTGGGTTCCTGGGTTCCTGGGTTCCTGGGTTCCTGGGTACCTGGGCACCTGGGTACCTGGGTACCTGGGTTCCTGGGTACCTGGGTTCCTGGGTACCTTTTTCTCACAACTATAGATTGATGACTTTCATCTCAAGCTGCAGAAATAAAATGCTNACCATTAGCAAAGGGTGTGAACCCATTCTTGTTGACTGTAGTAGACTTTGACATCCACCATTAGCAAAGGGTGTGAACCCATACTCGTTGACAGCAAAAAGATTATATAAGGGTTGCGGCCCTAGTCCTGAATATATTCTGCAAACATTTTGCATGCTTTCCCTCAGAGAGAGGAGGTGTTGACACCTCAACTGCTTTCTACTAACAACGACTAAAAATTTAAACAAAATTCTACATTAAACTAATTAGTTGTTTTGGAACAGGTTGAAAAAATAAAAATAAACTCTTATCATCGAAAATAAGTAATCTTATTCAATTATTAGTTTCTATAATCTCTCATTATTCACAAAGATTTTCTGCAGATTTTCAGGAAATTTAATTGACGACATTTGAAGAATTTGTAGAAATCTGCGAACAAATTCATAGAAAATAAGAAATTCAATACAAAGATGAAAACGAAATAATTAATTCTAGCATTGATTTATTGACAAATTTCTTTTGAGAAATATATTCCTAAACATCTATTTATTTTAAGATTTTGAACGTCGACTTTGCACTTAATCTTAGTAATTATACATCGTGGAAATGAATCAAATGAATCATAAAAATATTTTCTACAATACTGCATACTTAGTTCATCCACTATGCATTGCCGATCACTCCCTTAAAACTGAAAAAAAATTCAAAATACCCTATTTGTAAATATATATTTGTTAGCTATAGCTGGCCAAACGGCTGAACCAAATTGGCTAATTTTTTTAAGGAACCCATGGAAACCCCGGGGGTAAAAAAGGCTAAAAAATCGATTTCTTTGTTCAAAATTCCGCAGTGTTTTAAAAAGCCACGGGCAACGCATGCACTTCAGCTAGTTTTATATAAAACGTACACTGTATATTACAGGAGCCGGACAGGGACTACTATTGTACATAACCCCGGACTGGTCCAAACTCTGGACCTCTGAATGCTGGATTGACTCAGCCACTCAGATTTTCTTCGCATATTCAATAGGTAAATAGGTAAATGGGTAAATACAGTGAAACCCTTATTAACGAATACATCGGAAGAATTTATCAAATGTCGTCTTGAATATTTTTCAATGAGTTTTATACTATATTACTTAAATTTCAGTATTTGCGAAAATAAATAAATAGCCATGAATATGCGGGAACAGTTTTAAAGAGTTCCATAAGATCATTTAATTAATAAACTAAATATCTTCAACATTCCATTATCAGAGAGTGAAGAATACGACATTTGATGAATTCTTTCGATGTATTCGTTATTAAGGGTTTCACTGTAGGTAAATGGGTAAATGGGTAAATAGTTAAATGGATAAATTAGAGGGGCTTCCATTAACAAAGAATTCAAATCAAATCTCTAGTATGGCTATTTTCCACATATATGTGATGTTCACAAGACTATATATTAGGCACTTATTAGCGTGCTGGTTTAGACAATTAAGTATTGATTTCTACTTACGATGTCTCAAGTACGAATGCCTCCAATGATCTGAGGAATGTTATTTTTAAAAGGTTGTGTAGTTTTTAAAAAGACGACATTTAACGAACTTTCTTTTAAAAAAGGATCATTTATCTTTTAGAGGAAGATCCAAAAGAATATTCCGGGGTTAATTTTGAGCATTAGCCTTAGATACATTAGAATAGATTGTTTATGCAGACTATAAAGCTGAAAACTGTACAACCCCTTGTACATCATGAACTCGTCATACAAAAAGGTCAATGAATACGTTTTATTCTCGGGGTCAATCTGTAGAAAACCAATTTTAAATGGTTGCCATTCTGAATTGGGTGTATTACTGGTTCTCAAAACATAACAAAACACTCCATACATATGTACGGACTCGGATTATAAACAATACTTGCCGCAACTCTTTTTATTTAATGTACTGTATGGACGTAGCTAGTACAGAGATAATTTCATATTTAGAATTTCAGCTGAAACACTCCGGGTATGGTGAAGACGACATGAGCTATCTAGTCCTTGGTCTAGTCTAATTTATTTAGGGTATTAGCATAATGCATGCAATGTTGCAAACTTTAAATCTTCGACAAGTTTTTATTGAAGTTTTCTTGTTTAGGTACAGGAGCTTTGCCAGCTCTAGGTTCTTACAATAAGTTCTATCACAACTGTGTAAAGTGAGTATATACTATATATACAGCGGTCGGCGAATATATCAATACAATAAAGACTACTTTATCATTAAAGTTTTACTTGTTAACAAGATTTTTTCGAAATATAAGTTTACAAGTAATTAAATAGAAGATTTTTTTATCAGCACTTCTTTTGGTTTCCGTGTTTATGTGTAGTGATTGTCCATGCTTATTTAAATCAAAATTTAAATCGAAAGTCGTCTTCATTGTATTGATATATGCAACGGTACATCAGCTGTATCAGACCGCCATTTTTTTTACTGTTTCAAAAAAAATGTTGCTAATTGATGTGCTTAACTAGGGATACAGTGATTACATGCCTGGTAAACACTGGAACTTGTCTTCTCGCAGGAACAGTTACTTTCTCAATTCTAGGTCATATGGCGTACAACCAGGTCACAATTTTATAATAATAATACTTATTCAAAAGTTCATAAAAAATGTGACTTATTTTTTCTTATTTTTTTACAGTTTAACCCAGAACTTTGGAGAAATCGAAAGAATTTATAAAATGTCGCCTTGAAAATTTTTCAATGGGTTTTGTACTTTTATGCCTAAATCTCAGTAATTGTAGAAATAAAAAAAAAAATTAAAAATGCGGGAACAGTTTTAATTATCAGTAGGTTAAGAAAAAGTCATTTTTATTTATTCTTTCGATGTCTCCAAAGTTCTTATCTAAAATGTATTAACTGTATGTTGGTTCTGCTTTAATCAATTTATCTTTACACAAAATAATTACAAATCAATGTTATTAACTTAACCATTCTTTTCCTACTAGAATTGAGATTCTTTTTCTCAACGTTTTATCAAGATTTCATGAATGGACTTTCAACCAGCCATCGTTCAGTTGTTAGTAATTTAAAGAATTTGAGCTGTGGCTTAAATTTAAGCCGCGGCTCAAATATGGTTGGTTTCACTTAAAAGTGCATTCAATTTTTCAAGATTTAAGCCGACGCTCGATTGAACCCGGTTTTTGGGGGATTTGAGACGCAACTTAAATTCATTAAATACGGACACAGGGTTTTTTAATCTTCAAAATGACATGAAATATACAGATTTTGCCCAAATTTAACTCTATTTGATAGCCATAATCAAAATTGCAAACTTTGGTTGCCAATTAAGACTTAAGAAGATTTTAATGTTGTCGCATAATTGCATAATTAGATTTGCTATTGAACTGATGTTTTCTCCAAAAATATCCGAATTATTTCGAAAAAATTTTAAGTTACCTTTTTAAACTTGCGAAGGTTAACATCAAGGTTTAATGATTCCAGGGAGTTGATGTAAAAAGTGTTGTGAACTCTGGTCCTGGCCTGGTGTATATCACCTACCCGGAGGTTGTCCTCAAGCTCCCTGGAGGATCCGTCTGGGCGATCATATTCTTCTTCATGCTTGTGGTAACTTAACATATTTTCTAGGCACAGTGATCCAATCGGTTACAAACCCTCGCGCAAAAATCAATCAGGATTTTGCCAAATACTTCGTTAAAAATAAACCTGAAGACATGTATAAATGAGTAAGTGAGTTAAGCGTTGCGAACCTTTAAAGTCAACCCAGTCTTAACAAGTAATACAACTTTTATAGAAGTCTAAATCTATGTGTGGGAGATATTGAATAAAATAACTTTAAGAATCGTTAAGAATGTTATAAAACAAAAAAACGGCCCCTCCTCTTTTAGTTTTTCTCGACCCCCCCCCCACTCTTCCTTCTGGAAGAAAAGCATTGGCTAGATCAGTCAAATAGGACACAAACTTTCTAAAAAGCATTTGGCCATTTAATTAATTCATGCTCTATCTAATCCAACATTCTCGTTGTAAGAAGTTTTTTTCTGCATTCTATGCCCATTTTCTTTTTCTTAATTTCAATATGAAATATAAGGAGTCCAACCTATTGAGTCCTTACAGCAAAAAACTACAATTTGCTTAAAATCCTTTTCTTTGTTGTATATTTGTAAGTTTTACTATATTTGAGCGGGTAACTCAGCGTATAGCTTCAGATTTAAATCGCTGTGCAATTTTTGTCCAAATTTTATCGTATTTTGGAGTTAATTAGTTTATATATTTTCATACTTGTCTTTTTGCGTAATAAAGTTTATGAGAAATATTTCTAGTACAATTCTTGATCAAATTATATTTTTCTTCTAAAATATTTGTATTGTCTATCTATAGACTATTGGAATTGACAGTGAGTTCTGCTTGGTTGAGTCCCTTGTCACTGGTATTGTCGACATGTGGCCGGAAAAACTCAGGTCTGTACTTTTGTTATTCATAATCAACCTTAATTTAATTTATTGATTTAAATATTTAGGCCAATCAGACGACAGTTTACAGCAGGTCTTGTCATATTTCTATTTCTGCTTGGACTTCCAATGGTAACAAACGGAGGAGCGTACATCTTTCAGTTGATGGATTTCTATGGGGCCAGTGGTATACCAATACTGTGGTGCTGTTTCTTCCAGGTATACCAATACTGTAGTGCTGTTTCTTCCAGGTATACCAATACTGTGGTGCTGTTTCTTCCAGGTATACCAATACTGTGGTGCTGTTTCTTCCAGGTATACCAATACTGTGGTGCTGTATCTTCCAGGTATACCAATACCATGGTGCTGTATCTTCCAGGTATACCAATACTGTGGTGCTGTTTCTTCCAGGTATAGGATAGTTTCTCACTTTATGGAAAAGGAATTGAGTTTTGCTCTAATTTTCTAATCCCTATATCTTTGTAAACCATTGTTGTAGACCCATGATATTTCCAGGTATGAATTCTGTAAGATCAAATAGTTTAAGTTTGACAAATAAAAGGTTATCAGGTTGCAAAGAAATAGTAACAANATTGCAATTGGATGGATCTTTGGAACACAGAGGTTTGCAGGAGCAGTAGAGCAGATGACCGGATACAGGTATAAACACTATACAGGCAGATAAACAAATTCTGCAATCGTCGTCGTATATATCAATACCATGAACACGTCTACCAAGCTTTCAGCACAGCTTGGATATATATAAACACTGAAAAAAAGAGAAGCTGTCAATTAACTGCTTCTTTTTGTTTACTTGAAAACTTGTTCTTCGAAGAAGAAAAAAACTTGTTGGAAATCGAAACTTAAATTGAAAGGCTGTCTTCATTGTATTGATATAAACGTCGACCACTGTATATAAACGAGGAATATCATTAATAATAAGTTTTTCACTGCTTTCAGGCCAAACAGATACTGGACTTTAAGCTGGGGAGCTGTGGCACCTCTGGTCATGGCGGTCATTTTCATCTTCTACGTGGTTCAGTTTGAACCAGTCAAATATGGAACTGTAGAATACCCTGAATGGGCACATGTTATAGGTATAATATTCTTCCAGATTTTAAGTTTTAAAATCGAAACTGTGAAAAGTTTGTTTATGAGAGTCTCAAATTCTAGGGTTTATGATGTCATTCTCTTCCATGCTTTGGATTCCAGGGTATGCACTCTACTACTTGTGGAAGGGTGAGGGAACCCTAGCAGAGGTAATATTCTTTTAAATATTAAGTAATCAATTTAATTCAGAGATTAAATAAGTTGGAAACTTTTAAATAAACTTAACTAAATAGATAAATAATCCAGCCCGGCCTTTAACCTTCCATGGTCAAAATTACCCCCGGCCCAATAAGAGATGATAAAGCTGACCGGCGCAATTCAATATTTGTAAATCTGATCTCATCTCACCTTTCGAGTTTAAAGTAATGAGCTTATGACTCTGTTCATCGAATATTCCGAGCTGCAGCCAAGACCTGATATTTCTACAGTGATAATTAGAAAACAGAGTTCAAAATGAAAAGAAGAATACGACAATTATTCCACTATATTCTAAATACCACTGTATTTATCAATGTTAATGTTTGTTTAGAAACTGAATCGTGGCATTACCCCGGATATAAAAAGTCAACGTTACAAGCTAGAGAGCAAAGCGAGTCAACTTCATTTAATGAATGCAGAAAGCTCTGCTAAATTGATTAAGGTAAAAACTTATAATTTATTGAAAATTTTTTCATTTTTTTCATTAAAAACGTGTTAAAATGGTAAACAATTTATTAGAACTGTAATCTTTTATAATGAAATAATCTAAAAATTCTATCAGTGAATATGAAGATATTAAAATCAAATCATCCGTGTATGTCCCACGAAACGTGACAGTAATAAGACAGCTTGAAGGTCGTCTTTAATCTTTGAAATAATTTATTCATAAACTTAAGTTAAGAAGTAAAATTCTAGAGTTAAAAATCATTGCCAAAATGTGGTTGACTTTTTGTTCAGTTTTCGACTATTTTGATTTATTTAATTAACCTGAACACAATTCTCAATAATAAAGTAATGTTGACAGCACAAAAATGACAAACCAGATTTTGGAAATGCAAGAACTAGGAGAATTCCGTGACTATTGCGTTAAGATGAAGAATCATACATGCAAGAGTAGGTTTTCAAGTAAATGCCGCAAATAATTTTAAACATTAAAGACGACCTTCAACGGTCATGTTTGGAGGGACATCTTGTACATTTACAAATTCACTAATTTAATTTTTACCACATGACTCTGTTATAAGATATGACGTTTTTAGAATCAGTCCTTTTTGGCGCCCAATCCTGAGTGAAGAAGCACCTTCCAGTAAACAGTGCCAAGACGACATTTAACAAGAAGAAAAAATCAGGAAAATGTCGAAGACTAAACTCTTATTACAATCTTTTGCGTATTCGAAATTAGTGCTTCATATCAGGGGTAATCATTTTGTTGCATAAAATAGAGAAGTTGTTGCAAAAATGAAGATTAATAAATAGATAGCTGTAAGGCAGGAGGGAAAATGTATAGGATTGGATCAACCTGTACATACAGTGCTACCAACAAAGAATGAGACTTCAGAGACGACTGTACGGAATAAATAGTGTGGGTTTCCTTTCATTCATGATTACCTGCAATTCAGTTTTAAACAATTCTTTCTCTCTTGTCAAACACTAAATAAGCCATTTAAAGACCAAAACCATGGTAGAAGAGTTTCAAGTCGTCTTTACTTAATTCTTAATTACTTAATTCTGAACTTTTGAGCCACGTTGTAGAAGCATTCCATTTTTATCGTAATTATGCTTTGAAATCTATATACTGTTATAGAATAGATCATTTCATGTTTGTGAAGGAAACGGAAAATTCCTACTTCTTGAATATTAATCACAGTTTATATTTCACAGATATAATGCTCATTATTTAAATTAAAAAGTCTAAGCTTTGATTGGTTTGACTTTTACAGAGAAAATCTATTTTTCAGGAAAAGCTGGGTTTCCAAGATATAGTGTCATAAATTAGACTTTTTTGTTTCTTTCCAATAAACTTCGAAACAGCTTATATAAAAGTTTTTTTAAGATAAGTCGTGAATTTGAATTTTACCTTAAATAAGAATGCAGGATGTTCGGAAACACTAAAACATTTCCATTAACCATTTGCATTTGTATAATAGTCTGAGTCACCTTTAGCTATATGTAATATGTATGGTATTGCCTTAAGATGATTTTAAGAAATATTTTTTAAATGATTATAGCATAAAAATGAAATTTTAACAAAAGATTATTGGTTCTATTTTAATCCAATATTTTTTATATTTAAAAAATCATTAATAACAAAACTCCAAAATTACTAAAACATTTCGCCTAATGATATTGATTTAGATTTTTAGGAAGCCAAAATTTTAAATTCAGAGCAATGCTTTTCTAAAAGGAATTGAGTCTTTGCCACAAACTCAATTGTTCTAATCTCTTTTTATCATTACAACCTGATGCGATGGTGTAAATCATTGACATTTCGAACTTAGAAAATTTGATCCCACAGAATTCATTGTTTGAAATATCCAAAGTCTACAACTTTAATAAAGCCAAAAAGAATCTATGTTATTCTCAAAGCTCAAATCCCAAAAAATATATGTATTTAGCTAAAGTTTAGACAAACTCTAGTTAAGAAGCTTTCTGAAATTTTCCGAAATAGTCTATGACATTAACCTTTTTTGAGAATCGATATGAACAATGCAATTTTCATTTCTATTTGCTCAATTTTATCTATTAACAATACTATTGTAAAACAATATTTGTTTCTCCTTTTTTTGTATACCGTATATACTGGTTTTTACTTACAAAAGATAAAATTCAACATAGTATCATGAAAAAATATACCACCTTAAATCTAAATACTTCATTCCATACAACCTTAAAATTATAAGATTAATGTGCAGAAACAAAAGAATAAAGTGTACTGAGCTAGAAACTTTAGAATGGGATATCCTTAATCTCGATATCCACCATTCAAAAGTTCCCCCAACGAATTTAAGATATGAAACTAGAAAGAAGCTGTAAATCTTCATGTCTTTGTGTGTAACCCTGTAATTACTCATTAATGGTCCTTGTGAAAGCTCATCATCTAAAAATGATTTTTTTAATAACCATAACCGTTTTTCAGTATTTTTATTTTTGACAGATTTAGCTTCATTTAAAAAAATCCTATTAGAATTCTGCTTCAACCTAATTTTAACAACCCTGCTTTCAAAATCGTACTTTCAAATTTTTTATATAAACTAAAGGGTAAAGCAAAGCAATCGTAATCGTTATTAGCTTTTTGACAATTAAAATCAACGGAAAATATAATCGCTAATCAGATGGGTGGGGAAAATATAACGCTAATAATATAACCACTTTAAATATAACGACCAAAAATATAACAGATTAAAAATATAACTGACAAAAGTATAACAAACCAGAAATATGAACAACCAAAAATATAACCATATTCGACGAAAAATATAACTTTTTCCCAAAAATAAAACCTTTCTTAGGCTAAAATAAATATCTTTTTTCGACCAAAAATATAATTTTTTTGGCTAAAAATATAACAGTATTGACTAAAAAAAAATGCTTATTTTACCAAAAATTTAACCATTTTTTAGCCAAAAATGTATCTTTTTTGACCAAAAATATAACCATTTTTTTAGCCCAAAATTTACTATTTTCGACCAAAAATATAACTTTTTAAACCAAAAATATATCAATTTTTTAACCAAAAATATAACCATTTTTGCCTAAAAATATAATCATTTGTTAACCAAAAATATAACCATTTTTAACCAAAAATATAACCATTTTTAAACCAAAAATATAACCATTTTTAACCAAAAATATAACCATTTTTAAACCAAAAATATAACCAATTTTGAAAAAAATATGTTTTATCTGCACTTTTTGCATCCTCAGTATACGTCAGTTTTCTTCTTCATACTCTCTTTATAGGTATACATAGTGTATATCCCCCACTTTTGCCTTCTATAGTGTCCCCCTTTTTAAGAGAGGAAAGGAATGTGAACATCCTACTCGTGGAGATGGATTTGATACTTAACACTGATTCCTCGTAAACTCCGAAGTTTCTTACATTAACTGGAACATTTTCTGTTTATTGTGCGAACATCTCATTGCTTTTATTTGATAAAATGAGAAATCACATTTACGCATTAATAAAAATTGATTCTGATCATCAGAAAAGATTTTTGCTTAAGAATTGGTTATATTTTTAGTAAAAAAATGGCTATATTTTTTTGGGGGGAAATGGTTATAATTTTGGTAAAAAAAATGGTTATATTTTCATTAAAAAAGATGGTTATATTTTTGGTCATTATATTTTTGGTCATTATATTATTTGAGTTATATTTTCCCCGCACATCCTAATCACATTAAAATACATTTTCATCTTCAATAACCTTGCTTAAAGGGACTGTAAAAGAAAAATGAAAGGGGGTATAGGCTGAAAGCTAATCACTTTAGCTCTTGATCGTGACCCATGAAAGTTTTATCTGATGTTCCTGTCTCGAGAAATTGATATAAAACTGTGTTAAAATTATACAAAAGTTCATATATGTAAAATTTAGAAAATCTTAAACTAAAATCACGTGAGCAGAACTATCACCAATGGCAGAGCAGTATACTGGTCATGTGTCTCCGCATGTATCACGTGACCACTTTACTGCATTGCCATTGGTGGAATTTCTGGTCAAGCAATACGGACGTATAAATAATATTATGAATTAAGTCTATATAAAATAGAAATAACAAATATAAAATTAAAATTGGATTATTACAATTAGCTTTCTCTGGGATATCATTGTTTTCAGATTGGTTGCATATTTGCTGAATTTGATCTTTTTAAACCCACTACTTTTATACAAAATTGTATATATATTAATTTTCGTATAAATTTAACAAAGTTGTAAATCAATTTCACGAGATAGGAACATCAGATGTTTAACTTTCATGGGTCGCGATTGAGAGCTAAAAGTGATTAACTTTCAGCCTATACCCCCTTTCATTTTTCCTTTACAGTCCCTTTAAGTGCAAGAATTAAATAGATAAAGAAACAATTTTTTTGTGAAATTAAAAGTTTTTAGTTTTTTGATTATTTTTAAAGAAAAAAGGGTTGTTTTTGTATCAAATATGCATTTTTAAATATCCTAATGTGATGTGATCAATTTAATGTTAATAATTTTTTTAATATTATTTTGGTTTCAAGGTTTCAATGTTATAACAATATTTATCGAATTCTACATGCTGTCATTCAATTAAACATTAATTGTTAAATATAGAATACACAATTGTTGAAAAGTTTTTTTTTGCGGTATTTCTATTAGATGTTTAAATTAAAATATAGATATAACCCCTTGTAAATGAAATATAGTTAGAGCCAGATTTTTAGGAATAAATGTAAACTTCAATTTACCAAAAGATTTTATGATGAAACTTTAAATACTACCAGATCGTAGTTTTCTCATCAAAGCAACATTTACTCCCAAAACTCTGGTCTTAGAGATTTAATGTTTATAAAATATGTAGATTGTACAAAACTATAATTAAATAAATTATGATGCAATGAAATATTGTCATCTACAGTACGAGAGAATAAACTTTAAGAAAACAGAGGCAGAATTTAAAGAATTTGAGCCGCACCTTAAATTGAAGCAACAGCTCAAATGTTGTATGTTCCACTTAAAATCGTATTCAATGTTTTAAGATTTAAATCGCCGCTCAATTGAAACCGTTTTTTTGCGGATTTGAGACGCGGCTCTAATTCATTGAATTCGGGACTCAGGATCGTTTTTAGTTAACAATTAACAAATTAACGGGATCCTGTTTGCGTAATTTTAATGAACATTTATGCAAAGATGGCAATGTCCGAATTACAACAGATTTACAGTATCATTGAAACCATGAATCTAATTAAAATGTGGAATACTTATACCGTCGTTTTTCTAACTCAAACAAGTTAAGTTTAGTGCGTTTCTACATTGCTTCTTATAAACAAGAAATGCGCAAGTCACTTTTGCATAGAAACCGCAATGAAAATAAATAGTTTTAAAAAACAAAAACATTGATATCTAATTGATATCTGAGGCAAAATTTAAAGAATTTGGCCCGCGCGGCGGCTTAAATGCATTAAATTTGGACACTGATCAGCCAAAGTTTTCAAGTGTAACGTTGTAAATCGGGTATTGCCATCTTTGCATGGAGGGTCACTTGAAATTACACTTATATCTTTAACCCTTTAACCCTTTAACAAGGCACTTTTTAGAATTTCTAAAACA